AGCCTTGGGCAATCTCTGAACAAGGCACAGACTTGATCAGGGCCCCAGCAAAAGGCCTGACCTCTGCCCCTGGGTGTCCTGCTCTGCTGGGCTGGTCTCTTGTCAGCGATGAGGAATCTGGGTGCTGGCTCCAGAAGGGTTCAGCCCTGACACCCACCTTCATGGGTGGACAAAACCTTCCACAGCTCAGGGTAGGATCTGAAACACTGCCACAGGTCATGAGCCACATTTCTTGCCACTGATTTGTTCCCCACATTCTATTTGCACTTACTAACCAAAAAATGTCCTCACAAGTCCTTTCTTCATGTCACTCCTCTGCTCAGGAAACTTCATCATTTTTTTTTTAAAGATTTATTTATTCATACAGAACTGGGGTACAGGCCAGAGATGCAGAGGGTGAGAGGATTCACCAGAGACAGAGTGGGGAGCAGAACAGGCAGATCGACGAAGTACACTGCTGAGGGGAGCAGCGGGCGGGTCAGGAGAGGTCTGCCGCGCCATGTGGTCGCCTCCGGGGCAGGCGGGAATCGAACTCATGCAGAGGTGGCTTTAGTTTCTTAGTGCAGTGCTTTAACCCGCTGCACCACCAGGGAGGGCCAACTTCATCATTTTTTAAAACAGATTTATTAATGTTATTTATGCATACAAGAACTGGGGTACAGGCCAGAGATGATTCACTGGAGACAGTGGGGAGCAGAACGGGCAGATGTACTGAAATACACTGCTGAGGAGAGCAGCGGGTGGGACAGGAGAGGTCTGCTGTGCCACGTGGGTCACCTACCTGGCCAGGGATCAGACTCAGGTAGCAGTGGCTGGCGATAGCTTGATGGCGCTAAAACTTAAGCCCTGCACCGGGGGGGCCCAGGAACCATCATCTCACCCATGAGATTTCGCCCATGTGTTCCACAGAAGAAGAACTCAAGAAGAATTCAAGAAGTTCTGTGGCCAGGCTCCAGCCTCACTCTGACTTCGTCCACCCCTCCAGCCAGGCTGGTGTCCTCCAGCTTGTCAGCGTCACACCTCCCTGGGGCCTTTGCTCTCAACCTGAGAGACTCTGGCACTGTCTTTCCACCTGTTTAGATCCTGGCTGCAAGCCCCACTTTCCTGGGTCATCTTCCAGCCACTGAAGTCCTAGAAACCCCATTCAAAAACAGAAGGTGTCTTACTGAGGCCATGCCCAGCTCCTGGGGGCTGTGCTAGGACTCTGGACTTTCTTTTTTTTTTAAAAGATTTATTTATTCATACAGAACTGGGGTACAGGCCGAGGTGCAGAGGCAGTGAGAGGGTTCACCAGAGACAGAGTGGGGAGCTGAACGGGCAGATCGATGAAGTACACTGCTGAGGGGAGCAGCGGGCGGGTCAGGAGAGGTCTGCGGCGCCATGTGGTCTCCTCCGGAGCAGGCGGGAATCGAACTCATGCGAAAGTGGCTTAAGCTTCTCAGTGCAGCGCTTTAACCCGCTGCACCACCAGGGAGGGCTGGACTCTGGACTTTCTAAGCTTCCTGGGAGAGTCCAGTGCTACCAGCCCAGCCAGGTCCATCAGGCTGCATTTGGTGATCCTGTGCTGGGTGCTAACCCCAAGTCTACACTGGCCGCCACATCTACACACTGCACTCAGCATGCGCAATCCACATCTCATGTAACCTCACAACATGCTAATAGGTAGGTAATATTAACCTCCTTGTGTTGTGAGGGAAGCTGAGGACCAGAGTCCAGTCTCAAGCCCAGTCCAGTCCCCACATCATCCCTCTTGCCCTGCGGGTCCTCAGCCAGGAGCCTTCATTGTGCTTCCAGTTCAACACGGTCACTTTTACCCAGTTCCACGCACTACTGATACTTGTTTTGCTAAGTTTGGGGGACAGAGTGAGGGGTAGGAAGCCCAGTGGGGAGCCTACACCCACACAAGAAGCGCTGGGAGCAGAGCCATGCACAAGAGGGAAGAGTGGGCCAAGCTCCAGAGAACAGGTGAAATTTGAGCCAGGCCCTGAGGGACAATGACACATGCAAGGTCATAACAGTTGGTCACAGAGCCCCAGCTCACTGCCCCCAGGGTCACTCCTCACCCCAGTGAAGGCAGGGGCTATTCCTACAGAGCCATTTCCTCCCCAGAGAGTGGAAACTTCCAAAGTATCTGCCCTGGCATTGGGGTGAAGAGAGCAGGAATCTCCCCGTGGCACACAAACCTGGAGCCTGGGGCTGAACGCCGGAAACGGGCGTCAGCACCAGCCTGCCCGGCATGCAGACCGAGCCCCTTCCAACCCACAGGCGGGTCAGCCCAGAGGCCCAAGTTCTTAGAGGAGACATCAGCTTGGGAAGGCCAAGGGAGCAGAGCCCAGTGGTGGGCTAACCTACCAAGTGGATGAAGCAGACTGGGTGGTCAGAGCTGAATGGAACCCCTGCTGCACCCTGTTCTTCAAACTTCTAAAAAACTGCAGATCCTTCTGCCCAAACAAAATCCACAGCATATTCTGCTCCTCGCTCTCTACGGCCCGTGGCCACCATCTGGCTGCAGAAGAGGCCCCTCGAGCAGTGAGGTCTGAGCGGGAGCAGCAGCTGGGAGCGGGCTGGGCTCACGGGGCCCTGGCGTGCCACTGGACGTGAACAGTTCTCAGAACGTCGACGGCAGACAAGCCACTCTGCGATGCTTGGGTCAGCACTGATCAGCGCCCACGGTAGCCACAGCTGAGCCCTGTCCAGCTGCTAAAGTGACCCAGCAGGCTTTTCTCCTGGCTGAAGGACCACTGTTGCCTTTGACAAGAACTGCCTTAGCTTGGGTCTATGCCTTTCCCTCTTCTAGGAAAGTTGCAAAGGCTAAGACTTAGCTCCGCTTCCCAACAGGAGCCACTGTGCAGGGGTACCCTGTTCTCAGGACCTCCCTCAGGTCACCTGGCCCAAGCCCAAATCCCCTCGGTCCTCTCTACATCCTTTAACAGACTCCTCACAGCCCTCTGGCCACAACGAGTGTCGAAACCAACTGTGACCCACAGGTGAGCGCCTGGTGGTCTTACCTGCAGGGCACTGGCAGATGGAACCTAGCAAATCCCTGATCTCCCAACCCCTGCAAACATCCACGACAAAGGTCCGTCATCTCCCTCTGCACATGAGGAGACCCAGTCACAGAGGCTGCTGGCTTGCCCAAGACCACAGAGTGAAGTGAATATGTAATTCATCATCCAAACGAGACATTTTTGAGAGTGAAAGGGTACACCCTGACCCCAAAGCAGGGACGAGGTGCATAAACCGGGCTGGCCCGGGGAAGAGCAGGCAAGCAGGCTCTCCGTCATGTCACACAGCCACACAGTGGGGAACCAGGTCTCTCCCCTCCCAGAGCAACTCCCTGAAGCGGGGTTAGCACTTCAGGGACTTCAGGTCCCCCTGGAGACCTGGCGCCCAGGGGCTCTGGATTCCCTGGGGAGTCCTGGGGAATGTGCAGTTAGGAGTCGGGATGGGGGCTGCACAGCCCACAGCTGCCCCCACAGTCAGCCTGCTGTGTTTGGTGTTCACCTTCCAGAGAGCACCCGCCCGCAGGCAGGCCAGGCGGGATGCCTCATTTATCCTGCCCAAGGGGGACTGAGTGACTTTCCATAGAAGAATTTGCAGGTGAATGAAGGTGACCGCTTCAAACTTTGCAACGTTTTATTTTAGCCTTTCCACACTGGTGGCCCTCTGTGATGCAGGTCATCTGCTCCCCTGCTTCAGTAAACAGAGCACTGGGCTCACTGCCCCTCACCCCACTGACAGTGAGGCCACGGATAGAGACACAGTCATAGAGAGGGAGCTGCCTAAGTGCACTTCATGATGGAGGCTTTCCTGCTGGTAGCTGCCGTGGCCCAGAAAGTGGGAGCATGTTCCAGGGCAGGCCTTTGCTTCAGCCAGGACCCTCAACTCAAAATCGGAGCCCACGCAGGTGAAGGTCTCCCTCTTTTTTCAGGGGCCCAGCGTGCAGGCGCTGGGTGGACAGACCTAGCCATAGATGGGGAGTCCTTTGAGGACAAGAACTGGTATCGAGTCTCTTCCTCCCTGAAGACCCCGACTGTTATGTGGCTAGCTCATAACAGTGCTCAGCGCTTCCATGGATGCCACCGAGTTTAAGTGAGCAAAGCCAGGAAGGTTCATTTCACCTGCAGTCCTAAGTCACCGGAAATGTATTCTGCAGGGAGGGGGCTTTCTGGGACATTGTGCCAGTCTTTGTATCTCCTAACAGGCCTTGTGGAGATTTGAAGGATGAGAAACTAAGAGTTAGGGCAATGGGGAGGGGACATTAGCTGGCCAGTTCTGCAAATCCATTGGCCTGCCCCAGGCTATGGGCAGATGATACCCAGTGAGCCACGGCCCAGAAGTCCACCGTGCAGAGGAGCAGGACTAGCTCATTCCAGGAGGCAGCCACTGCAGGACAAGCTCTCAGAGGAGGGTATCTGTGCCAGGGTTTGAAGACGGGCAGGCACAGGAGCAGAGGGCATGCCAGCAGAGGGGCGGCTTGGGAAGGGTATGGAGCGGCAGATGAGTGTGTGGTGGGGGCATGGCTTCAAGGTTGGGGCAGAAGGGAGCATGGTGTGGGCTGACCAGGGAGACCATCCAGAGGTCAGAGGTCAGTCACAGATTTGGGGTTGAGGCAGTGGGGTGGGGTAGGGAGAGATATGGTTAGCTCTGAGGGAAGACAGATCACAGCATCCTCCAGGGGTTCCAAGAGACCAGGAAGCCTAAACGCGTCTCACGGAGAATCTGGGAGCTGGGGGTAGCACCAAGGAGGCAGAGAAGGCTCTGGAGCGCCCTGGAGTCGCAGCTCTCCTCAGTCAGTCATTTCACCTTCAGCGCTTCCCCAGAGAGGACGACCAGTCGGAACGGCCATGGCCCCTCGACAGTAGTCAGACCTTCCCTGCTCAGCTCTCAAGATGCTCTGGGCTCCTTTGAACCTCCTACAACCCTCTTTCCCAGATAGGGCTGTGAGTTCACACCGGGGTCCGCAGCAGGGCAGGCTAGACCCAGGGAGCAGCACCTCCTCAGCCCTGGACATCGGGCTCAAAGTCCAGTTCCTTGTCCGGGAGGGGGTCCCCGGGGCCGTCAGGAAGCCCATAGTACAAGTCTTCCTCTTCCTGCTCTGGCTCCCCCACGCCTGCGTCTGAGGCCTCCTCTTCCTCCCCCTCCTTTGTCCTCAGGGAGGGCTGCCCAGAGCCGGGCAGGGCTGCCTCCCGCCACTGCCCCTCCAAAGGCTCATTCTCCAGCACAGTGGCATCGATCAGCGCGAAGTCCTGGAAGCGGTCGGGCCGGCACCTGCAGACCCAGGGCTCCCCGGGCGGGGGGTGGGGCTCCGGTGGAGAGGGGTTGGGGCTGCTGCCCTCGCTGAAGCCCATGTCCAGGTCATCTTGGAAGGAAGCCAGGGGTGCAGCGCCCTGGGAACAGGCCAGAGGACTGCAGAGGCAAAGGTGGAAAGAGTGAGGGGGGCGCTGAGTCAGACTGCCTGGCTCCAACTCCCAACCACTGGCTACAAGCCTGAAGCAGGTGGTTGACATGCCTGGACCTCAGTTTCCCACATGGGAGCCTGCTGCCTCAGGGGGCTGTCGTGAGTGCTGAGAGCACCATGCTCATCCGTGGCAGGTACAAGGTGAGCCCTGGACCCTCTGAAAGCCCTTGTGACTCTCTGGGGCTGGGGTTCCCATCCAGATGCTGCTGCTGCTGCTCTGCTCTGTGGCCTCCCACAGGTGCCCTTCCCAGCTGTCCCATGTACCCATTCATCTGCCCTCGGGGACCCACTTCCTGCCGGCATTGACTTGCCCAGGTTAGGGCTAGGCAGCGGAGGGGCTGGGGCGACTGACTGATCCTATGCTTCTATCTGTACTCTGTCAACGTCACCCCACCTGCTGCCTCTCCAGCCCCATTCATTACTGAATGCCCCCAATCACCCCACAGTGGCTCGCACCCCTCTCCCTGGCAAGGAGCAGCACCCCTCTGCTCTGCCCTGACCTGTGCACTCACCTGGGCCCGTTCGGCGCTGGCTGTCTCTCTCCTGCGTCCTCGTCCGAGCCCCTGTGGACCACCACTGCAGCCTCCACCCAGGCCTGAGCTTCTGGTGGGCCACCTCCCCCTCCCTCACTGACTCCTGGCTGCAAGCTTCCGGGCTCTGGGGCCAGCAGGGGGTGGGGGTCCTCCCCGTATGCCATGACCTTCATGCGGATGTGGCTGAAGTCAGGCAGGCTCTGGTCATAGGCCGCGTCCTCCCACAGCCTGACGTAGGGGGGCTGGGAGCTGAGGGGACAGTACAGTGGGAGAGAAAAGAGGTGGGCAAAGATTCACTCAACAGACATCAGTGGCACCTCCTGCCCTGGTGCTCTGGGTTGTGGACCCCCTGATCGCCAAGAAGTCTTTGGGGTCATTACGGTACCCTCTTGATGGAGGAGGAGGCTGGGGCTCAGCAAGGTGAGCCAAGTGGCTCAGGTCACTCTCAGTCCAGTATTCTTGCCATTCTGTCTCTGCAAAGTGAACCCCAAAGGTGCAATCCTGCACAGAAGCCCAGTTCACATCCAGAGTTGGCTGGGTTCTGAATTCTATGTCCTTGGGAACCCGTAGGTTCAAGGCTTTGTATCAGTCAGCCTGCTTATTCTGAGCAAGGTCAGGATAAATGAAGCCAGTGAGGGTCCCTGCTTTCTAGCAGGAACACATCTGCAGGAGAGCCTGGCGACCGAGCACTCCTGCGGGCCAGGCTGTCATCTCCTCAGACTCACCATAACTCTGGGAGATTGGGGCCGGGGGAGTAACAGGGGAGAGTCCAGGGCGAGGGGAGGCCTGAGCCCCAACTCTGTCATGGGGCTCTCTCCATGTGACCAGTCCTGCCACTCTCCCAGGATCTCTCTGTCATCCCCCTCGGTACCTGGTCACCCATATGCCAGGAACAGAATTACCCTCACCACCTCTTCCCCCAAGCAAAGCAAAGCAGAGTGAATCTCAGAGCCCCTGACGGACCCTGGATCTGCAACCCAGCCTTGTGACCCCAACCTGAGGCAGCTCCACAGCCTGGCCAGGGTGGGATGCTTGGCCCTGCCCTCAGTCAGGCCCTGACACCTCTAGGGAGGATGGCAGGTCTGGTCTGACCCATCACTGACACCGGTGAGCTAGGAGCTGATAAATGCACTTCTGTTTCCAGGAGGGTCTGACAACCCGCCCCCCACCCCCAACATGGGCTGGTTTCCTCTGCAGACTAAGGAGAACAGGGGCACAAAACCCCGGAGGTGGTGGCATGCTCTCAGTTATAGCGCCCTGTAGCGGGCCCGCTCACAGTGCATCAGGCTCAGGTCCTGCCGGTTGGCTCTGTTACCTGACTTAATGCTCCCTGAAGCCCTGGGAGAAAGGCAGCTTTGGTGTCCCCACTGAGGCAAAGAGAAGCAAGTGGCTTCCCCAAGTCACATGGTAGTAGTGACAGCAGCCCGGGATTTAGGTCAAACTTGCTCTTGAGTTCTGGTTTGCCACAAAGTCACTGCGAGACAGGGCACAGTCTCTGAGCCTCGGTTTCCCCATCTGGTGGAACTGGGAGCTCAAAACCATCCACGATTTCTAAGAGTATGTTCTCAGTGAGCAGGAAGGCCAAACCAGAACGCGGGCCAGGGGAGGAGACAGTGGCCTGCCACCCACGCTCCTCCTCACGGGGACACAGGTCCCAGGGCTTGACGTCCCTCCCTCCCTTCCCTCCTGCCCCAGCGGGCCTGGCACCTACCTCTTCATCTCTGCACCAAGCCCGTTCTCCAGCAGGCCCAGCGCCTTTGGGGACAGGATGCCTTGGAAGTCTGAGTCCGCAGGTATGAAGGTGATCTGCAAGGCCAAGGGGCAGCCGCTCAGTGGTGTGGCACATGCCCCTGACCGCTATCCCCACCTCCTTCCTGAGTGTCAGCTGAACCGCTGTGAGAGAGCCAGCCAGAGAGGGTCTCGACAGGAGGGGCCTGCTGGGGCCCAGCACCAGAGGACTGTGAGTCTCAGGGGCCCTACTCACCTGGCTCATCATTCAGCCAATTTCACTGAGCACCTGCACTACACCTGGCACTCTGTGAGGCACTAGGGGGCAATGGCGAGCTGGAGAGTCAAACCTTCCCTCACATCCTGTCAGTTTCCCAGGCCTTGCCCAGGGCCCAGCACACTGGTGCAGAGCAAGTACTTCATAGCATCTGGAGAACGCCTGCGGAGCAGGTCCAGGTCCTATGCGTCTTGGCATGGAGACTGTGATCGGGGCAGAGAATGGCATATCTGGGTTTGCCCCACGCTTTCGGGGGTCAAGAGGTCACTGCAAGTGAAGCACTAGGAGGTAGACACCTGGAGATGTTGGGGGTGCTGGTGGGTCAGAGAGGAGACAGTGGGGTGAGGCAGGAGCCCTGTGGGGAGCTGGGTGAGAATCCCTCTTTGAGCAGATCATCTCTCTCTTCCCAGGCCATCTATGCTCTGTGCAGTGGGGTTAGACTCAGATATTTGCAGCACTGGTCACGATGGGCAAGGGGTCGTAGGAACCCATGTGTGTCACTTTGTCATATTTTTAAAAAATTGGGTTAGTGACCTGGAGTTGATGTGAGGTGATCTATAAGGAGTGCCCGGCACAGAGCTGGCACGTAGTGGCTACTCAGTAAGTTATAACTTGATACTGTTGAAAAAGAAATTACCTGAAATTTCTGAGGCATCTCAAGACTGCAAATTTGTTCAACAAATATTGTACTTGCCACTTTCAAAGAGAAAAGCCTCTTTCCCCCTTTCAACAGAGTAAAGAGAATGGGAGACACTCGTCCCTCCAGAAAAGCTCTGTCATGTTTACAAGGAGAGGATGATGGATGAAGAGATTCTTAGAACGCATTGGGAGATGGGAGCGAGCTTCCCCCAAATATCTGTGAGTAAGGCAGTGCCTGGAATCTTCCACGGTCATTAAGGATGCTCTGAGATTGTTTGCTAGAAACCTGGGCATCCTAAAAACTGTCTTATCCTCTGCTCATTACCCCATGGTCCAGTCACCACCCACCTCCTCCTCCTCTCCCTCATGATCACTATTCCCATCACCACCCACACCCAGGCCACCATCAGCATCGCGGTATCCAGCCCCATGTCCCTGTGTCACCGCTGTATTCACTGCATCGCTACCACCACTCCCATCACCACCACCATCGTCACCACTAATACCATCCTTCTATAACCATGACCATGGTCATCTCACCACCGGCACTGTGAAAAATCAGGATAAGGAAAGCCGGGAGTATCTTAGAACAGGCCCCTCAAAAAGAGAGGGGCAAGAGGTGAAGGGAAGGAGGGGAGCTCAAACCATGAAGATGCCAGAACACCAGACTCAGGAGTTCAAACTTTATCCAGGAGCAATGGGAGCCCTGGGGGATTAGCAGAAGAACAGGCCGGCAGATCAGTGTTAAGTGGAAGCCCGGACAGACCTTACATGCCTATCTCCTGCACCTCAGGCCTTTGATCATGCTGTTCTCCCCATCTCCTCTGTCTGCTGAACTTCTACTTAGCTTACACAGCCCAGCTCTTTTCCTCCGTGATGCCTCCTCCCTCCCTGCCAAGCGGAAAAGTGTTTCCCCCAGGAGACACCAACAGACACAGTTTAATCCGTGGTGGTATGTTTACCTCTTGGTTAGTTGGTACTGGTCAGCCCCTCATCTTTGCGAGCTAATTCAAATCCCTTCCATTTCTTTCCCTTTTTGATGGAGGTGCTAGAGAATGAATCTGGGGCTGGCTTCTATGTCTACTTCTTTCCATCCAGGTAACTCCCATTTGTTAGGCACTGAGAGGCCTCACATTCCAGCAAACCTCCTGGTCTATACCCGCTTCCCTTAGTACCCACTTTCGAGCCCCCCGTCCCATCCCTGAAGCACACACTCCCCCACACAGACCCACACAGCACCCGCAGACCCCCTCCCCCGGCCACAAACACCGATCCCCAGCAACACCCTCCAGTGAGCTCCTTGTGGGCCACCACGCCAGGTCCCACCAACAAGCCCCACTGGCACCTCGCACTCAGCTGTGAGTGTCCCTCAGGGAGGCAGTGTCTCCCTCTGCCAAGGTCACAGAATGGGGCAGGAGGGAGAAGGGATACAGACTGGGCCGGTAGACACTGAACTGTGTGTGGTTTCCACCCGCCAGGACGCCAAGCGTGACCACGTGGGTCTATCAACAGTTACTCATTAATGCCCAGCCTCTAGCTGCGCGCTCCCCCTCCGCCCTCCGCCACTGGTCATCCTGCCCACCACCCCAGAGCCACCTCTGGTACACGGGAGGGGCAGGAAGGACACTCCCTCCGCCCGCCCCCTGCGGTCCCCTTGATGGCCCCCAGGGCCCAGCCAGCTCCTGCCAGGAGGATGTCAGTGGAGGTGGTGATGGGGTGACTTGGCCCCTCTTCTCCCGTGACCTCTGCTCAGGGCATTACACAGACAGAAGCAAGTTGACTGTAAACTGCTCAGTAAATGGCCACAAAACCAGCCTAGACTGCCTCAGCACCGGCAGCACCCACAGCCTGGATCTGCCCACTGAGGGGGCAGGGCTGGGAAAAGCGGGCCCAGGCCCCGGGGCCTCCTCCCTGCTCCATGAGCCCCCAGCACAGCTACTCAGGCTAGATATGAGCAGGGGTCTGCAGGTGGTGGGGCTGCCTAGAGTCCAGAGCACTAGATGTGAGGGCAGGCAGGCTCTTAGAGGGGGGGACTCTTGTATCCCCTTTCCGGCCCCCGTTCCTGACTCACACACCATACAAATGTGGAAACTAGTGCTCGGAGAAAGCTTGGAGAAGGAAGCAGCTTCACCAGAGTCTCCCAAGCAGAGGCGAGCCCAGTTGAGAACCCATGCTCCCTCCTGTCTCCCTGGCTGTGTGACCGCGAGGAAGTCACTCAACCTCTCTGGGCACTGAAGGATTAACAACTCCTGACATGCCCATCCCACAGAGTACTTTGGAGGATCCATCTAGGTAGGGGTGCAACCCCTCACCTAAATACAGCACCCTACAATGTACAAAGCATGCCAACATCCGTTTCTTCCCCAACATCACAGCAATTACGTGAGGCTGAGAGAAATGGGCTGGGAACCTCATTCTGCAGATGAAGGAAACTGATACTCAGAAAGATGAGGGCCAGACAGAGTTTAGGACAGAACCAGAACTAGAACTCCGGACTCCCAAACCAGTGCTCCCCCCTAACAAGGCTGGGAGGCATTAGCAACACGCCAGAGTGTCCAGGCAGGCCCACCAGCTAATGCCTGTCTCCCACATGTTCGGCAGCCCTTTTGGGGAGCAGGGTTCGACTCACACATGTAAGCTCCCACCAGTGCCTCCTGGGAGACCACCTTCCCAGCTTCCAGCTTCCTCACCACAAAATGCAACTATAGGAGGCATGAAAGCTTCAGGCCAAGGGTTGGGCTGCACCAGGGGGTGCCCTTTGGGGCAAATCCTCCTGAACTTGGCTTTCAGGCGCGTGGACTATGAGCTGGGCTTCACTGTAGCTTCCCTATGGTGCCCAGTTCAGGGCTTCAGCTCCTCCAGGGGGCTTCTGGTCAGTCCTTACGTTAAGGGAGGGAGGGAGACAGAAGAAACAGGATGAGAGTGGAGGATGAGAAGGAGAGGATGAAAAGATGAAAGAAGGGTGCACAGGCTGGAACAGCCCCAGGCCCTCCTGAACCCAGGCCCCCAGCGATCCCCACCACCCCCTACCTTGGGGTAGCACTGGCACATGCTCCAGATGACGCCCCCGATCACCATGACGCCACCCATGGCATAGAAGGTGCCGTAGACCTGGGGCCGGTCGTGGCTCATGAGGAAGGTGCCCAGGGCCAGCAGGAAGAGCCCCAGCACAATGAAGCCGATGCGGAAGGTCTTCTCGTCAGCCATCGCTTCAGGCCCTGTGCCCTGTGCACACTGGTATCAGAGGGACGCTCACCAGTCTGTGGGATGCTCAGAATTGCAGCTGACCGGAGCCTACTTAGGGTTAAAGGAGGGCAGCTGCCCTGAGGTCGGCGCAGTCCCTGGGTGCCCCAGCTCAACAGGCCAGCACTGGAGTTCCGCTCGGGTGGCCCGGTGCCCCCATCCACCCACTTTCCCTCCCTCTCACCTTCCCTCTGGGCCCTCTGGGAGTGTGTGTGTGAATCTGAGTGAGGGAGCAAGAGGGAGGGAGAGGGGGCGGTTACTGGGCTGGGCCCCAGCCAGGGCTTTGACAGCGCTTCATTTGCCTGTGTTGGGCTGAGCTGAGAGGACAGGCAGTCCACACCTCCGGCCAGGCCACAAGAAGCAGGGTGCCATGCTGCAGCCCAAGACATCAGAGGAGGATTCCAGGTCTCATGGGCTGGCATTTTAGGATCCCAAGGAATTCTAGACTCTTCAAGGTCAAGCGCCTACCTGGATTCAGGAATAATGTTAACTGGACAGTGGCTGCATTCATGGTATGTTCTAAACGTGTTGTGGGTATTGACTCATTACAGAGAACCCCACTTTACAAATGAGAACACAGACAAGCAACATGACAAGGTCACACAGCTAGAAACGGCAGAGCAGCTGGGACTGGAAGCCCAGGGCCAGGCGGCCTGACTGTCCCACAGGGTTAAGGGTGCAGGCTGGTGGCCGCAGCTGCCTGAGCTTGGGTCCTGCTCCTCTCCTGTGGGGCAGTGTGGTCTCCATCAAGATCCCTCCTTGCGTCTCAGTTTTCCGCCCCTGTGCAATGGGAATCCTAGAAGTATCTCCCAGAACCAGAGCTGCCCCAGCCCTGCTGCCCAGGTCCCTCTGTTCACCACCTGCTGCAGTGCATGGAGGCCCCTTGCACCGTCATGTCCCCGTAGGGTGGGAACACTCTCCTGGCCTCCCGCCCTGCAAAGACGCCTGACTCCTAAGAATGACAGGCTAGTGCTGTCATTTCAGGATTTCAGTTCTGGCCTCGTGGAAGAAATCGGATTCCCTTACAGGATTATAGGGAAACGAGAGCCATCTCTAATAGAAACACAAGCTTGTCATTGGCAAAGCTTTCACTGGGCACCCTGACTTGGCAGGCTTAGAGAGTCAGGGTCTCCCTGTCCCCCAACACCACACCTCCGCTCACACCACCCACTCTGCCTGGTGTTCCCGCCCACCACATGGTGTCCAGCAGATGGAACCAGACTGCACTTTACAGTTTGCAGAGGAGATTGTCTGAGCAGAACTCAGTGGCCCCTTAGAGTAAGAGGTTGCTGGAGGGGGGGTGGGGGGATTCTGAGAGGGCTGAGAGTGGCCAGGGGCAGTCAGACCCAGGGCAACATGGGCTGGTGGTTCCACTCTGGGCTTGACAGGGGTATCAGGCCCCCTCCTAGGGGTCCTGGGGGATGACTTTGTGGAGAAGGAAATGCTTTGAATTTGTGACTATTAACATGGCAGGACCCTCCAGGGACACACGAGGTCATCATCTGACAGAGGCTGAGGGCAGGGGAGCAATGAGTGCCCCTCCAGAAAAAGACCCTGGCCCAGAGGGGCCCAGCAGGCCCCCGTCTGTCCCTGGTGTCCACTCTGGTCCGGGGTCAACAAGGGCCTCTGGTGCCTTCTCATGGCTCCATAAGGCGCTTTCAGGCCCTTCAGTTATGGTGCCCATTACCTGGGTGAGGAAGCTGAGCCCGGGCAGAACTGGCCGAGCTTTCCCCAGATGAGGCTGGTGGTTGAGTGGGACCAGGACTCAAGCAACCCAGCAAGCGTGAAGATGAATCTGATGCTTAGCCCTGCCTGAGACCTTGGGGTCTCCCACACACTCGCCTCTTCCTCTTTTTTTTCCTCTTCACGACCCAAACACTCCACCCCCTTACACCCGCCCTGCTCTCCTTCCGCAGATCCATAGCGAAGATTAGAAGGTTAAGTTATGGGTGCTCTTACCCCCTCCCCTTCTCTGCCTCAGACATCTACTTCCCCTCTTGCAAAGTGGCAGTGCCTTGGAGTGATGCAGGAACCGCCGTCCACCAGGGGGCGCGCCAACCACCGTTTGGGCCTCTCCGAAGGAATTTGGGATCCTAGCAAGACGCTCTGAGGTCAGTCAGGGAAAGCTCACACCCAACTAATAGATGCAGAAAAGGAAGCTCATGGGGCCAGGCGAGCGGCCCAAGGTCACAGAATCTGTTAATAGCAGAGCTGAATCCAGACCAGGTCCCCAGAGTCTCTTCTTGTTGAGCACTGACTGTGCAGGCACTCTGATCCACACAGCATTGCAGACAGTGGTAGCACTTGGTCTCCCTTCCCTGGGCACAGTATGGTAAAGGCTCTGAGTTATGTCTGCGTTTCAGCCTGTGTGTGAGCGGGAGAGGGCTGCCCTGGCTGGGGGAATGGGTGAAGGAACAGGGGAACAGATGCACAGAAGGATTCTTGAGAAGTCAGGTGGGCTTCTGTCAGGGCAGGAAAAGCAGTTCAGGCAGACACCAGCCTGTGTAAAGGCCCAAGGATAAATAAATACTGACATCAAACTGGGGTAAAGTTCTCAAAGCTGTGGTGCATTTGCTTCCACGCTCATACTGCCCCTTCCTCCCCGATCGGCCCTTCTCGTGGAAACTCCACCACCTCGCCTGTCATGTCTACATTCTGTTACTCTACCTCTGAGACAGAAGAACCCAAACACTTCTCTCTCCCCCACCACTGCTATCCCCCGCTCCCCCCCCCCCCCCCCAACCCTCACCATCTCCATCCCAGGAAGAGTCTCTGCCCCTGCCTTGCCCCTCAGGTCTCTCTTACGAATGCTGGTTGGGCCATTTCACTCTTCTGCTCACACCTTGGAATGGCTACCTGTCACAAAGTAGAAGTCAAGGACCTTAAAATGACCTACTGGGCCTTGGCTAGTTTACCCATCCCATCAACCCCACCCCAAACTCATCTCCTGACCTGCCTCCCCTCACTCACTCCACACCAGCCCTGCCAGCACCATGTTCTTCTTGGAACTTACTAGTACCCCAGGGCCTTTGCACCAGCTCTGTCTTCTGCCTGGAAAAGTCTTCCTCCAGATACCTGGCTGTCTCCCTCCCTTACCTCTCTTAAGTCTTTGTCTCAATGTCAGGTTCACAGTGAGGGCTTCAGGTGTGATCCCTAAAATTGCAGAGCCTTCTCCCTGACCTCCAGGTAGTCCCTGTCCTTTCCTGACTTATTTTTCCCCATTTTTCTCATCACTAACACTATGCATAGGTAATTCATCTCCTTTCTTGTCTGTCTCCCATACTGAAACTCAAGCTTCCACAATGCAGGGCTTTTGTCTTGTTCTCTGGTGTATCCCTGGGGCTAGAACCAAGGAGGCTCTCCATTCCTACTTGGGAATGAGGGATGAGTGTAAGTTCCAGCAGGAAGGGAGGCCAGTGAGGGGAAGGCAGGAAAGCCGGGGCCCCTTAGCTTGGGGCCATGCTAAGGTAACTGGCCTCTTTCAGATCAGAGGCCAACAGGGAGTCATTCAGGGGCATATGAAGGGCAGTGACATGTCAGATTGTAATTTTACAACAACCCTGTTTCCAAGATCACTGGACGAAGCAATGGAGGGGAGGAGAGGTGTAGCAGAAACCTAAGGAGAAAAAGATTAATGCAAACACTTTAGGAGTAATTCATTGCAGGGAGGGAATTTCCAGTTGGGAAATTTCCAGCTGACTTGAGGTGGAAAACTCTAGGGCGTGGAGCCGGCAGCCAGTCCAGAGGAGAGCACAGGGAGAGGCCTGGCCTCCCTTGCGGTGGCCACAAAGGGGCTCTGATGCTGGTGAAGAAACCAGAAGGCATAGACGGGAGCAGAGAGCAGGAAGACAGTGCCCACGGGAGGCTTCAGAGCAGCAGCCCAGCCTCTGCTGTGGGGCTCCAATGTCCCCAGTTCACCGGGGGG